TATAGTATTGGGACTACTTTTCATTCTAGTTTTGATCTAAAATGACATCATCACATCTTAACTTTCTAAATGTTACCAATATTTTACATTCCCAAATATTTCCCTCATCTAGTTCGATTGAATATTAATCATCTCATTTGTGTATCCCACTTTGATTGTGCATACACATTAATCATCCTCATTTGCATATTAAGCCCCTGAAAATCTAGATATTTGTTAAACCCCTGATATTTAGAAAGATCTTTTGCCAAAATGGAAATTTCTAAAAATTACAAATAGCACATAAGAATCCAAAAATAAAAAGCAAACCCTTGAAAAAAGGAAACTACGAACAAGGAATTTAAAATACAAAAATTATAAATAACCCCCTAAAAAACTAAATTGTAACAACCCACAAAAGATCTGCATGCTTCAAACAACACTTGAAAATTTAAAAAATTACGAACAACCCTCCAAATTTTTTGAAAATTACAAATAACCCTTGGAAGTTTTGAAAATCACAAACAACCCACTAAAATTTAAAAATTACAAACAAATCCTAAGAACTTTGAAAACTACAAACAATCCCTTTAAAACAAAAAAAAAAAATCAAAAAATTGGAAACAATGAAAGTTACAAAAATCCTCTTTAGACATATGAAATACTTCGCTAATACGTAGAGGGCATTTTGGACATTTTCCATTCTAATATTGTACCCTCATATAAGTACAAGACCCACATTGAGATTAGAGGTGCTAATAACAAATTGAACCAAACATATTATTGAAAATTTAACTCACTATAGTCCGTTGAACTATTGTGCCCCAGGACTATAGCGTGTTAAATGAATCATGAGATTAAAAAGGTCCCTAATCCAATCATGGTCTAAGGGTATTAAAATAGTCCCTACTTAAACATAGTCTAGACTGGATGAAGAACAAACATGAGCTCAAGATGTGGGTTCTCTTACTACTAAACAAAACATAGCCGAAGGGATGGTCGACAATGGTCATAGATTATTACAAGTTATGGCTAGCAATTGTCTGGTCAGAGGTGGCTAGATGTGTTCGACGATTGCAAAGGTGGCCGAAAACAACCCAATGGCAATGAGAGCATAACCACGATAATCAATGATTGTGACCTAATTATAAACTGATTAACAAAAATCAACTAGAAGGGTGTATGCATATAATATACAATATTTGGAAGTCTTATTTTATAAATTGAAAACTGGGGTAACTTAGATGAGAGTATGATTATTTTAGCTAAACTATACCCTCTAGACTACTACTACTCTACTGCACACAAGAGTAAGAGATTTATCCACTTCAATTGGTATCAAAAATGGATGAGTGGTCAGGGACTCCACGAGTAAATATAGTAGCGTTTAGGTGGTTTGGAAAGTGTACTTTAGTTATGATTATTGTAGACGAGTTGTTAGGTGATCCGTATCGATAAACTTATTCTAAAATACGTTTTAAAAAACCCATATATATGAGATTTCTCTTTAACACATAACAAAATTATTGGATAAATTTAACATACAACTTTAGTGTCTTAATAAAAAATATCGAAAATAATATACTTAACTAAATACCATGAATAATATTGCACTCCACGCGTCAAAACGCGACACTAATCCTCTCCTTGCATGTTAAGACGTATACCACATCATTAGCAAGCATTAATCAGACATTTTTACCGGTTAACAAACCCTCCCAAAAGTTCTCATAACCGGCACGTGTCATTCGAGAGCGTGGGCCCCGCCACTTATCACCTTCAGCTTCAAATTGATCCCTCCGATCATCCCCAAATCAGCGGAAAACTTCACTCACTCGGAAGAAATCAAGAACTCGATCTCGATCTTTTAGAGAGAGAGAGAGAGAGAATGGGATCTGAGCCAACGCGAATCTTAATGGGAGTGAACGAGTCATCGATCAAGGGCTACCCTCACGCGTCGATCAGCAGCCGGTCGGCGTTCGAGTGGACGATCGAGAAGATCGTGCGAAGGAATGTCGACGGATTCAAGCTCCTATTCGTTCACGTTCAGACCCCTGATGAAGACGGTAACGATTCTTTGTCGATTCCTAGGGTTAGGGTTTTTTATTAAGTCGGAAGTCCGGAGTTCTGAAATTTTGCATGCTTCGATTTCTTCAATCTTGAAACCCTAACTCGAGGCCATAACTGGTTACCAGTGATGACTCGAGAGATTGAATTTTATGTTCTTGATCATCTGTAATCCAGAGTTCTTCAGGGATCAAGGGCATGAAGAAGTGGAAGTTGAACCGTGGTCGAAATTGTTAATAAGACGTTGGGTGATAAGTTGGAGCAAGTTGGGCAGGGAGAGAGGATCACAAATTGTAGAATTTATAGACGCGTGCAAGAGATTTTTACTTAATGTTCTAAGTCTTGCAAATGGCTAAAATACCAAATTGGCCTATGTAGTGACACCCTTTTACCACTTTGGCCTAAAAAACCAAATTGGCCTATACAGTGACACCCCCTTTACCACTTTGGCCTAAAAAATAACACCGGCGACAATTTGACCTAAAAAGTGACAAATCGACGATAAATAGACTTTTCCATCGCCGGAGTTATTTTTTAGCAAAAAATTAAAGAAATTTTATATATAGACCACTTAATCTCTCATTATTTTTAAATTAACCCATCTCCTTTCTCTAAATTTCTGAAATTTGTAAAAAAAAAACACCCTCTTTTTTCCACTATCTTCTTCCCACCATCTTCTTCATTCACTTATTCTTTCTATACCCTAACATCCCCTCCTACCTCACTCCCTCTCCTACCTTATTTCATGGATCATCACACTTACTTTCTAATTTTCTTCGTCTCCTTCAATCTCTTTTACTCAAAATCCCCAACATCTCCTCCTCTCTACCATTCCCTCTTCCTTCTTCTCCTCTTCCTTTCTCTCACTCTCTTCCTACATGCTTCACCCACTCCCAACACCCAAAACTAAACATTCCACCACAGTCTTAACCTCATTCTTCTCTTCTTTTCTTGCACTCTCTCTTCCTCCTTGCTTCCTACTCCTCTTTCATCCTCCAATCATTAAAAAATTAATCTCCTTAACAGTGAGGATATGTGAAAGAAAGGAGAGAGAATGATGACGATTGGGAAAAGAAAAGAATGAAAGAAATGACAAGAAGGATGAGGGAAAATATGGTGGGAAGGGAGGGAGAGATGAGTTCTTTTTACAAATTTTAGAATTTGAGGGGTTAAATCAGAAAATATGAGAAATTTGAAGGGTATATATAAAATCTCTTATTTTTCTTGCTTAAAAAATATATAAAAATCTCTTAATTTTCTTGCTTAAAAAATATATAAAAATCTCTTAATTTTCTTGCTTAAAAAATGGGTGACTGGAAAGGTTTATTTTTCATCGATTTGTTACTTTTAGGTCAAATTATCGTCGGTGTCATTTTTTAGGCCAAAGTGGTAAAGAGGTGGCACTATTTAGGCCAATTTGGTATTTTAGCCTCTTGTAAATTTTGAATACACATGTAATGCATAGGTTCAGTTGTGAAATCTGATGCGCGTTATAGATTCAAAGAATAGTTCTTTGTTCATTAACATGGAAAGAGAGATTTTCTTCTTTGTAAAGAAAATCATAGTACACAGGCACTTAGGAATAAAATGTCAAGTAATGCTTCCAAAAAAGCTTGGCATTATTTCCACAATGTCTTATAAAGACGCTTATGAATATCATTGGAGGTTCTTGCAACAAAATTGTTTTTCAAAGATCCGGGTCACTTTTCAAACTGTGTATTATAGTGGTATATGTTACTAAAAACATCTGACAATAAACTTAGATGCAAGATACCCTTTGCCATCTAATAGGCCATGGGTTTGTGCCTTGGTAAAGGCAAGTTAGAACACTGGGTTTTTTAAGTAATCCTCCATAAGTTGAGCTACTAGGTTTAAACTTGGCTGGGGTGGGCCAGGGCCTTCAACTGTGGATCAGAGAAAATCAGGTTGAGATGCTTTGCATTTAGTGCATGGTGTGGGCTAGGGCCTTCAACTGTGGATCGTAGAAAATCGGGTTGAGATGCTTTGCATTTAGTGCATGGTGATTAAGTGCCGAGGTGGCACCACTCCGGTGCAATGCTGGCAACACCTCAGGTTGTGTTGCAAAGTGATGTTTAGTCTGTCTGGTGAGTATTGGGCCTTTGACCTGACTAGTATGAAGGGTTTTTGGTGATTGTTGAGCTCTTTACTTGACCTGTCTTAATAGGTTACTAGATCATGTCAGTAATTGTAAAATTGATCAGACCCTTGGTTTGTCACATATTGGCTAGTGACCCAAGTCAGTTGTAGTTTGTCTGATATTTGGTGGGTTTGCGACTAGTGGCGGACCCAGAAAAATTTTCTTAGAGAGGTGGAAGACAAGTATGTAGTTACCTAAAAATAAAAATAAAAATATTATAGAACTATATGCAAATTGGCTGTTAAAAATGCAAATGGGCTATGAGTTTGTGTAGTGGTTATATAAGTAATTATTGAGGCACTGGGCGTAAAATTTTTAAATTTATTGGGGCAAATTGTAATTTGAGAAGGCTTTAAGAGGTAATTTTAACATGTGGGGCCCCCAACCCAAAATAAAAATAAAATAAAATAAAAAATAAAAAAGATCCGCCACTGCTTGTGACTTCTGGGCTAGACCAAAGACCTAGGTGAGGACCATGCCGATAATAGCTTGAGCAATATACAGAAATCAAATCCACGCTAAAGCTGCAATTTCACTAGTAGTAGTTTCAGCTTGTTGTTCGATACAGCCCAAATACCATGCCAGACCGATGACGTCGTCTACCTGAACGTGATCAGGAAAATCTTTGAGGCTGGTTGGTGCATACTGACATACTTGCAGACTTTAGTCGTTGATCCTGGGAGCAGTTTGGTTTTGCTGGCCTCACAGTTAGCAGGCTGAATTTGCTTTGTTTTTTTGGTGTTTCAGGGGACACAACAATTCTACAAGAGATGTTTTGAAATCAGCAATTGGAGTTTCTAGGAAGTGTACCTCTCAGTTTTAGATTTCCCTACTGTTCTAACAAATCTGAAGGTGCAATTTAAAGATTTTGCCACTCGTAATTCTCCTTCTCCGTCTTCTATATTTTGATAGAAGAAAATGACAATAAACTCTATGATTTTGGCCCATATCTAAGATATTGATTTCCCCATTCTTTATCCTTCTTAGAGCGAGAGAATTTACCTTCATGTATGAAAGATTCTTATCGTTTGCTATAATCTTCTGTTTATAGCCATGTTTCTGAAGTTTTAGTTTATAACATTCAAAACATTTGATAGGATCATCAACTGACAATTTTTGTTGTTTTATATTGTCTGATACAGGATTTGATGACATGGACAGCATCTATGCTTCACCTGAAGACTTTGAGAGGATGAAACGAAGGGACAAAACTAGAGGACTGCACTTGCTGGAGTACTTTGTTAGACGTTCTCATGAATATGGGGTAATCTAATTTAATTTGACACTTTGTCCTCTTCTTTCATTTCCTTTAGCCATTTTCCTTTTGCATATCATGTTCTTCTATTGTTTTCATTATAATGTCAATGGTATTATTCGAACTTTGATTAGATTTAGTAAATCCACCTCCATGTTTGCTTCAGCTTGTTGGATATGAAGTTTAGGTCATATATTCTATCGAAATTCATTATAGGCTGTCTTATTAGTCTCCAGCAATAAGGCTATAACTGTACTTAAACACATAATTTTGTTCAACCAATTTGACATTCAGTAGGTTTTCTTTTCGAAACTCTTCAGGCATAGAATTTACGAATTGAAGAACATAAGATATGAATTCTCTTGTTAGGTCCTTCACTGCTAATTGCTACTCCTAAACTTAGAACATTTTGGATTCTAAGGGCATTTATCAATTAGTTCAGCTACATCAACTGGCAAATGAAAACACATCTTTGCATGAGTACTTGACTGGACTCAACACAAAGCTTGAGTACCTCTCTTCTATTCAAATCTGGACAGAACGATAGTTATTACATCAGGACATGTAAATCATATATATGTATTATGTCATCTATTGTATTTCATTGTGTGTTGTAAGATATACGACATGTGCATTAGTAGTTGAGTGATTAAACAGACATGTCATATGATGACAATATATATAAATTTGAAGTACAGAACAAATGAATAACAAAGGAGAAGTGGTAGAAGTATGTAAAGACAAGCAGAAAAGCATATGATTATGTTTAAAAGGCCATGTCATATGTTGGTGCTGAAACCAGTTAGCAATTTTCTTTTTTCCAACCCAACGACTTAGCAATTTCATTACTATTGTTTAGCAGAGAACAACAGAGATAACAGTAACAACCAAAGGTTGAATGTGAATTTTAATTGATTTAGGATGTTTTAGAGTCTAGTTGCTATGAAAGTTTTTTTTAGTAGATTTAATTGCGGATGGGCCCTTATAGTGTCACCCAATTGCGAATAGTCCGCCTGCAGTTCTATTTGTGCGGGTAGATCTCTGAGTGAATTCTTTTTACTCTTAAAGAGTAAAAAGAGTTTTTAGGGAGCGCATAGACTCCTTGAAGCTCTACTAGTGAGGATAGACCCCAGTTGCTAAATATTTTGACTCTTAAAAGAGTCAAAAAAGTTCACGGAGGGGGTCTATCTGCACTTGCGAAAATACTACTAGGGGTCTATCCACACAAGCAGAACCACAAGGGGTCAATCTGCAACTGGACGATGGGTGATACTACAGTGGGTCTATTCTCAAGTAACCCTTTTTAGTATGAAAATTCTTCTTATTAGAAATTAGTTCTTGGTTATTGAGTTTTGCAAGTCTCTGAAGAACTAGTTTCATTAAGGTATATGAAATTGTTACCAAACATTATGAATTTATGATTTCTATAGATTGTGTGGTTCAATCTTGGTTGTGAAACCATACTTTTAAGGTGAGAGATATTAATTGGTATGCTTCCATAATTCAAGCGTTAGCCTGAAATCTTAATTTTATTATTTTTGTTTATTCTACCTTGTTTTTTCTGTTTCCATTCCCGATCACCGTCAGCCAGTCAATTGAAAGCGAAGAGGAGAGGGAATGATTTCCATAGGGTATAGTTACAGAGGTCCAAGTCAACTTGCATATTTTTATTTTGAAATGAATAGTAAACCCGATAACCAATATATACCCAAAAGCATTTTTAAGGTAATGAGTGTATATTAGAATTCATCATGTTGTATGATGCATCTACAATCATACATTTCTTAGGCCCTGTCATAATACATCAGTACAACTAATATCCTTTTACCCTGCATCATGTCATAGAAAATATCCTGTGTCCCACAATATTAACCACAATGGCTGGGGACCAAATCCAAGCCATCAAGCTAACTATTTTCAGGTTGATAAGCAGAACCTGTGTAGCTTATATTGGTGTTCTTTATGCTATTTTGTTCTATTATATATTCTTCACCGTTGCTTTTAACATTAATAATACTGTAGTTGGAAGGGTGGGAAGGTAGGTGGATCATATTAATAGTGTTGAAAACGATGAACCTTGGCTACAATGCTCATATTGTTCTGATGGTATTTAGGAAATTCGCAGGTTACATTTATTCGGACTAATGTTTAACTTTTGGTTGTATAGCACTGGATATAACACTTCGTAGCTTGTATATAAGATAAATAGGTCAGTTGCCTATTAGTATGCAAGTATCATAAATTTAGCTGGCTGTATTCTGATTTGGTATTTTTTGCTAAAACCTGCCACCATTAAACTGAGGCCAAGAAGCTTAGCAGATGTTTGGGGATCTGAAACATTTTTCCTAATGATAAGATCATAAGATATAAATATCAGGTTATCGGGATCATACACCGTGCCTACTACGTTCTAGGTTATAATAAATGGATTCAAGGATTCCCACCGTAAGCAGTCTGGGGACTTATTCTATCAGATAGTTATACATAAATATATATTGAGATTCGGCTCTTTTGTGCTTGTTTCAATTGGTATAGATTGCTTGCGAAGCATGGATCAAGAGAGGCGATCCAAAAGAAGTAATCTGCAGCGAGGTGAAGAGAGTTCGTCCTGATCTTCTGGTCGTTGGAAGCCGTGGGCTTGGACCATTCCAGAGGTATTATTTAATTCGAAGGGGATGACTGTTTTTTCACTTGTTCACCTATTTGACACAAACTGCTCTCTTGTTCATTTCATGTTATTGCTAATATTGACAGTATCTTTCTAGCTGCTACGTGAAAGTTCAATATCCAAGAGCCTTGTATTATTATGTGCAGATAGCTTTCCTGATCGAATGTTACATTGCATTTAATCTAAAAGAATAGGTAACAGTGTTCTACTTCTGGATGCTTAGAATAATACTTGTTTTAGTACGTTTTCAGATTATTATTTTTTATATTTTCACATCACTAGTGGAGTCTCCCCGTTTTATGAGTTCTTTTTGTTGCCAAAGGTCTACTACTGGATAATAAGTGTCGTATAACAGTGATGTGCTTTAAAATAAATTACACTTTCCAAAATAGATAAAAATTATCATGGTTCGATTGGTATGTGCTTAGTTTAGTATCCAGATCCCTTCTCTTTATCTTCATTCCTGTCAATGGTCACAGTTTGATTGGTTTTTATTGCGAAAAATATACCCAAAAAATATGATAAACTGATTGTCATTGTTAATAGTTTGATGACATAAATTGAGAATCATGCTATTCAGACAATGGATTACATCTCTAATTTCGGTAGTGGGAGCAAATATAGTTGGAGGGGCAGTACTGCAACAACTGGAAACATTCTCACACTCAAAAGTGTTTTTTGGAAATTTAAAATGTGGCAAATGTCTTATCTAACTGGAAATGATCGAACACACTCAAAAAATGGTTTTTCAGAACTTGAAATGTCGTGTTCGCAGGACCACAACATGTCAAATTGCCAATGAGTTTTTAAGAATCAAGCATAAATGATGGTGTATTCACATAAGACTTCACTTACAAGAGCATGTATCGCGATATGGCTTGTTATCATTTACGCTGTTTGTCAGTTGATACTAAAAGTAGTTTTACAAATAATATGTTTTCTGATAAACTCATGTGTACATACATTTACGTAACTGATACTAAGATTTTTACTTTGTAGGGTATTTGTCGGCACCGTGAGTGAGTTCTGTGTGAAGCATGCAGATTGCCCTGTGATCACCATTAAACGAAAGGCAGAAGAAGCTCCACAGGATCCAGTCGACGATTGATACCCTCTATTACCCAAAAGCTGAAAAACCTTTGTTGTAATTGGTAATGTACTAGAAGACACCACATATTACAAGACAGCAATGCAATAAATATCAAAGACTAGAGTGAGAAACAGTTGATGGATGAGATGCAAGTCATGTATGATATCAAAACAGAGCTTGTAATCTTGTTCTAACTTCTATCATTTGCTTGATTTTGCTCCTTTGAGCTTTCCATCTCGAGTAGCTCCAGCATCCTCAAAACCACCATGCTCTACATCACGTACAGCCTGAGTATGGATGACTTGAGAAGGCTTCGGTTTGCAGAGCCTGCGAGCACAGAGGCGGCTGATGATGCATGCAATGATGGCGACGACGGTGATCACTGCCAGAACAATGAAGACTGGACCGAACGACCCTTTTGAGCTCGAGGATGGCTTTGCTGAGGTGGTTGAATGTGGATAGGCTACCAGAGGCTGGGGGAGGGAGGACATGCTTTCCTTCTTCTCTAGGTCAGATGACTTGAAGATGGATTTATGCTTTGGTTTTATGTTTGTTTGTGTTTTTGCCTGTCAGGATTTGCTTTCAGTGCGGTTTAAAGCAATGCGGTTTAAAGTGATGCATTAGATGCCGTGGGTTGGGCCGGATGCTTGCGCTTTTGGTCAAGAATTTGAGGCTTTGTAGTGCTTTGATGCTAGAGAAAGTGTGAGCTTTGGTTTCCTTTGGAGTTGGCTGAGAATCATATTCTGTCATGCTTTAAGTTTTGAATGATTATGGTAATTAAAAGAAAAAGAAAAAAAGAAGCTGTTGTGAAACGCGAACTAATGGGCTGGGGCCGCGCCTGATAGGCCCGGCCCAGTGTCTAATTTGGCGTATGATTGGTGGCTTTCTATCTTAGCCAGTTTCTGGTTGCGTCTTTTTTTAGTTTAATTATAGAATTTTTACTTTATATCTTCATTGCTCATTCATTGAGACGTGTGAATTCAGTGATCAGTTTGAGCCTTGTGCATGATAATTAAATTAAAAAAGGCATATTTCACAGACTACTTTGGGCGTATTTTGAGCAATTAAAAAAAATCTAAATTCATACGAAGGATCAAATTAAATATTTATGTAGTAGTATTGAACATACATTTGCATATGATATTGTTAGTAATCAAGACGCAGAATAATTAAGAAAAACTAAGCTTACAGTATAAATATATAACATATTAAAATCTTTCTTAAGGATAAAGGCAAACCTTCAATTACCGAGAGTCCTATAACATGCACATTGTACATGGTACTTAAGTTTTGTATACATGTACCTTCACCAACTTTGATATTGACAATTATAGATTGATCATAATTTTGTGATCTCAGCTTGCCGATGATTGAATCTGTCCAAAATGATTTACGTTATTATTAAGGACATTGTAATACAATACATTTCATCAATGTGCCATTAGGATCATTGAATAGCAAAACCTCGTCGAGAAAAATTTACAAAAAAATAAGCAACAAAGAGAAAAGGTTGCAGATAGAGAAGCAACAAAGGGAAAAATTTTATAAACAAAGAAGCAACAAAAAGGATATGTTTATGTACCCATATGTGCCATAACAAAAAGATACATATATAAAATGGATAAAATACTTTCATAGAATGGAGTGTAGCCATAAACTCTCCAAGAAAAGTGAAGTTGGATGCATAAAGAAGCCTGATTGAACTCGCCTTGTCAACAAATCACATCATTATGGAGTTGGAATTAATAAAATATAAAGGGATAGTAGAGTCCCTTTATCAGGATTAGTTTGCAAGATTTATATATAGATGAGTTGAATTGAGAAAGAGTGGGGAGTTGATCAAGCTTAGCCATGAGTGAAATTGAGTTGATGAGGTAGTAAGAGATAACGCAGTTAGTGGCATTAAGAGATGTTACATTTCAATACTTTATGAAATTGCAAAGAATACATAGAAGATGAATAGCCAGTTCTCTAAAAATTTGTCGTGTGGGAAATTCCCTAAAAAATTGACATGTGACATCCGAGGATCTTGTTTTAGTATATTAGACAGATTTTTTGAAGAACAACGTCTGTCTAGCTATTGTCAAACCTAATTGCACTTAAGTACCTTATAGTTTCCTCAACTTATACCCTCACTTGTTTTTGGCGGTTTGCATATACCCTAAAGTTTTAAACCTTGCATTTATATATCATTATCACTTGTCTTGGCATGACCTGTACACTTTAAAATCTTTAAAATTTGCATCTAAATATTCTGAAGTTTTTTACACTTGCACTTTAAATCCTACAACTATGCAAACATGAGGGTATTTAAGTGCAAGTTTTAAAAACTTTAGGATATTTATGTTCAAATTTTAAATACTTTGGAGTATTTAGGCGCAAATATTAAAAAAAATTAATGTGCACGGTGCTACCAAAAAAAGTGAGGGTATACAAGTGAAAATTTTAAAAACTTTAGGGTATATAACTACTGCAAAAAATGAGGGTATATAAGTGCAATATAGTTAAACTATAGGGTATTTAAGTGCAATCAAGCATTTGGAATTGTAGCAGTGAAAAAACTAAAATAAAACAATACATAACCGACTTGACTAAAGGCATTTTACAACAAACAATGGTTTCATTGTAAAAACTACTGTTATGGGAGGTTATTGGTCGGGATAATTGGGGTCAAGTGAGAATATTGTTCCAATTGAATAATTTTATTCCTTTGGGATATTTTGAGTAGGATAAAGTGGGATAATTGGGATAATGAGACAAATTGAGTCTTTGATTTGACAATTCATATGGGATAATTGATGATGTGGCACCTTATTAAAATATAACTTTATCTATTAATTACTTCTAAATTAACTTATCCAATTGGTTTAGTATATTATTATAATATAAATATTATTTTACTTTAAATTAGAATAAATTGTTATACTATAATTACTAATTAATATATATATTAATATTATATTACATAATAATAATATTATATTATATTAGCATTCTATACTATATAATAATTAATATAATATAAGAGTAATATAATTTAATATAATATTTTAATAATAAATATTTAATATAATACATTATTTTATTTATATAAAAATATAATATGTTATACTATAATTACTAATTAATATGATTAATTATTATATTATATTACATTATATGTATGCTTTATTATATAATAATTGATATAATATATAACAATATATGTAATATAATACTTTAATAATATATTATTTAATTTAATATATTATAATACAATAACATAGAATATAATGTACTGTATAAAATATTATAATATTTTACTTTATTCAATGTAATATTTTTAAAAACATTATATATATATATTATATATATTTATATATATATATATATAATATATATATATATATATATATATATATATATATATATATATATTACATGATAATTACAATATTATATATTAAAAGGTATCATGATATAGTATAATATATTATATTATTTCAAAATATAGTATTATATTATATTATATTATAATATTTTTAATAATATTATTATATTATATTATAATAGTATGTCATATATATAATAACTGATATAATATATAAACAATGTATTTAATATAATATCTAATTTAATATATTAGAACAGAGTCATAGGTTAAAATTTACGACATAAAATATTTTAATATTTTTTATTCAATATAATATCATATAAAATACTATATTGTAATTAAAATATAGTATAATATTATATGATAATTACTATGATATATAAAAAATATCTAAAATGTATTATATTATAGTACAATAATATATTTATTATATTAATTTAATATAATATAATATAATCACATAACATGATTTATATTATATTATTTTTTATAATTAAATGTAATATACTAACATGTTTATTAATTTTAATATGTTATATAATATTATAATATATTATTATATTGGTTTAATATAATATAATTTAATATAATTGCTACAATAAAATATCAACTACAATTAATATAATATATTATATAATAATATATTTTATTAAGATATTATAATAAATATGTTGTACTATTATATAATATAGTATGTGATATTGCATAATAATATATAATAAATATCAAAAAATAAATTATTTATATAAATTAAACTATAGTAATGTTGTATGTTATTACATGATAATATAATATAATATATTGAATATATTATTACTTTATATTTTATATATCATGTCATATATTTATAATATAATTAGCATATATTAGTTAAGTAATACAAAAAGATTTAAAAATTATTCCAATTGCCTTCAAAGTGGAACAAAATTGTTCCAATATGGAGGATGGGGTAATTTTTGGGACAATTTTTTTGTATATGAGTAGGATAATTTTATCCCAAGTGATGAAATTGTCTCACTAGTGTTTTAAAAAATCAATAACACAAAAAATGTATATCATTATTCCATTGCCCCAATGAATAACACTATGAAATAGAATCCTCAAAATTATCCTATTATCCCCCAAATGTCCCAATGAATACCCCCCTTAACAAAAATAGCTGTAATCGTTACTAACACTATGAAATAGAATCCTCAAAATTATCCTATTATCCCCCAAATGTCCCAATGAATACCCCCTTAACAAAAATAGCTGTAATCGTTACTACATTTTAAAAAGTTATAATTAGAGTTGCAGTAGTCATTTCCACGCGCCAAATATATTTACTAAATAATACTAAACAAAAGAATAAATCACAAAGGGTAATAATGCTTGATTGTGTCAAAGGGACGATAGAAGGTAAATATAAACTGCTGACAACAGTCCATTTTGCATGTCCCACCTTCGCAAATGGGCCGCTCAATATATTTCGGGTCCATTGCCAACCCGTACCCATCAGCCGTTGCAAATCGAAACCGAATCCGCAAAGTAACCGGTTCGGTTTCCTTTCGGGTACGGCCCCATATATAACAAGAGAGCTAGGCTTTTCTTGTCCTTTTCGCTCTCAAAACCCTAATCGCCAGCCGCTCTCCGTCTTCGTGATCCAGAGAGTTTTAGGGAAGAGCGCGTTCTCTCGATCAAGATGGGGTGAGTCCTCTTTCAGAACCCTAGTTTTTATCATTACTTTTTTGGATTGTTCGCTAACAAACTAGTAAATTTATAATCATTTGGATTGACATCGAAGCGATTGCATTAAAAGCACCTAATCGAGTTCTAAACTTGTTTATGCTTGATTTTTAGTGGTATAGAGAGTAAGAAGTTTTAATTTCGATTGCGTTAATTTTGATCTTGTGGAGTAGTGAAAATTTTGAAAGTGTTTGGCTTTAATAATGGTTATTATTATATCTGAGGGGAAAAACAATTGGATAAGGCTGTTTCAGTGTTTCTTGTACTGTCAATCTTCTTCTTTTTATATAGTCATCTGTTTGTTTAGTGATTGGATGTTTGATATTACCAGAGTTTTTAACTTCATTTTGTAGTAGAGTTTGGCTTAAGTTGTTTAGTTCATTGTAAGCTAATTCTAGCCATAGAATTATGGGTATAACCAATGAGTAATTCTAATGGAACTCCTTTTTCCCCTGTGGATCCTCAAGTAAAATCTGACCTTTTCTGTGTTGTTTGCGCACGTGCATGCTCATTCTTGTTAAGTTTTTAGGCAGTTCGTGGTAATTTGCATAATTAAAGTTCTAGTGTACCACCTTCTCTCAACCTGAAAATTGTCATGTTGTAAATTTTGATCCAATTGTTTTAAATCACTTTAGAAACTCATATGGAAGTTTTCTGCTGACTTGGATTTTGATTCAAGATCTCACGACTTTTCTCATGGTCTCAAGGCGCTTGCATGACCTTATAAAAACGGCTAAATTCACACTTTTATTATTATTATTATTATTATTATTATTATTATAAATTGATCTTTGAGAAGAAAGTGCATGCTTGTTTAAGATCAATAGTTAAACTATCATAGGGAAGTTCTTCATCAAATTTCAATATATTGTTTAAGANAATGTTTTCTTTTCATATTCATTTTCATATTTAAAGTAAAATCACAATATCTAGCTTAAGATGTTAAGAGTCTATACAACAACAATGTATCCTATACATGCTATTGATTGCTCTGGCGTCTTTGCTATACTTTTTTTATCTATAATTTTCTATGTCATCATTCTCTGAATTCTAGTTAGAGGTCTTTTTTTTGTATGTCGTGTATTTGTCCATGAATTTTTCCTTGAAATATCGTCATCCTCATATTGTTCCTTCTTTTCTTTTCCCTGAATTTACTAACTATATTAACTTGATTTTTGAATCATCTGTTGTCTCTGGAATAAATTCAAATGCTTTTAAGAGTTATTCTCTGTTGTATCCTTTGGCCTGGAGTGCTTTTCTTCAACGGCATTTTGCATAAAGCAAATACCATGGCGTTCTTCTTACCCTTTGACCCCTGTGTGTTTGAAGTATCTTTCTTGTTAGATTCTGTCATTGAGATCAATGTTTTTAAAAAGCCTCCGCCTCGCCCGCCTAGGCGTACGCCTGGTCTTTGTATGCCTAGGCCTAGGCCTAGGCGGTACCTTGGCCGTCGACCTAGCACCTAGCGCCCAGATGGTATGTAGGCTGCCTACCTATATTTTGGAAGCACCTAAGAGAGCGTGGTCTACCTACATGGACTATACCCTTTAGGCATTGATCATGATTTCCTCCATTACAGCCTTCACATCCTCCAACCTCCTCCAAACTTTAACCTTGAACACCTCTTCTACCTCTCCCGACCTTGAACAAAACATCATCCACCACCACTTAAGAAATCTACCCAGGTGTTAGTCTAGCGCCTAAGCTTTCTATAACATTGACACTTACTATCAATAGTTATAATTACAAAATAAAAAATAAAAAACGCCTAGGCCCCTCGGGCTTCCACCTAGGCGCTTAGGCTCTAGGTGTCGTGTTCAATGCCTAGGCCGCCTAACGCTTTCTGTAACCTTAATTAGGATCTGACTACCTTGAAGGCTTGAACTATTTTATGACACTTCTAATTCATATAATTTCTTCTTACTCCTTGAACATTGATGATATGGCAATTTAACCATCCAAGACATCTTTGACCAATTATTAGTTTGTTGTGACATTATCATAAGAAATGCTGTGAAGTCTTTCAAGTCATGGGCATGCATGTTTCTATAAGGTTCTTTATAATGTTTTCCTGCCAAAATAATAAATATGCTTACTGTTCTGCAAGCACAATTATGTAGAAATCGAAAAGAACCAACATAATTTATTCCAAGTATGAATATTGAAAAGAACCTTAACATGCTGTCAGATACTCAAACGTATGTATTTATAAACTGAAAGTAGTGAGGTCAATTTTTTCCTGAAGTAGTGGTCGCCTCTTCCCCCTGTTTTTTCTTTCTAAATATCTAGGAGTAACCACAATATTTTTCTTGATAATGATTTTAAGCCTCTGACATGATAGGAAAACTCGTGGAATGGGAGCTGGGCGCAAGCTCAAAACTCACAGGAGAAATCAGAGATGGGCCGATAAGGCCTACAAGAAGAGCCATCTCGGTAACGAGTGGAAGAAGCCTTTTGCTGGTTCCTCCCATGCCAAGGGCATTGTCCTAGAGAAGATGTAGCACTCACATATCCTAAATAATACCATGTCCCGTAGAAAATTGAATAACTAACTATGCTTTTTCTTTGCAGAGGCATTGAAGCCAAGCAGCCTAACTCTGCTATCCGAAAGTGTGCCAGAGTTCAGCTTATTAAGAATGGAAAGAAAATTGCAGCTTTTGTCCCCAATGACGGTTGCTTGAACTACATTGAAGAAAACGTGAGTTTCATAAAAAAAAATCGTTTATTATCTTTCACTGAAATATAGATAAAGTACACAAGGACAAAATTGCCTAGTTTAGAGAAACCAATTTCATGGTAATTGGCTCCAGTAAAACACAATTATTGTAGATTTGTGCATAACCAACCAAACTCCATGGTAGTTTTATGAATTTTGCATTTTCTTCCATCATCTTTTGACCCGTTTCACCTTAAAAAAATAAGGGTTCTTCAGTGACATGAAAGTGCAATTGTTGTTCCAGGACGAGGTGTTGATTGCCGGATTTGGTAGAAAGGGTCACGCCGTGGGAGATATTCCTGGAGTCAGGTTCAAGGTTGTTAAGGTCTCTGGAGTTTCTCTGCTGGCTCTCTTCAAGGAAAAGAAAGAGAAGCCTCGCTCTTAAGCTTTTACTTTCAGGACATGTATTGTTCTGTGGCCAATTTAGTTTTCTTATTATTGAGTCTCTGTTACTGTTTTGGCAGATTTAGCTAATATCTGGTTATTGGTGGGAACCTAATCTGTTTTTGTTATGGTAAAAGAATCTGGTTTGAATTGTGTGATCTGATGGAATTTTTGTTGAGCGTCCCGCCAAGTGAGAGGAATTTATCCTCCTGCTGTTCTGCGCGTGATATTTCGACCCTTTAGGAATAATATGCTCCTTTTTACATAAAGATGGACTCTTATACCTCCGAACCTTTTTTTTCTCTAAAATTCTATTAATTTGAAGCCAAAAGTTAATTTATCATGCCCATAAAATAGTTTACCGAATTGGAGGACGCTCCGTTTTCACATATATAGTATCAAACAAGTAGGCCAATTTGAGAATTGAGCATCATTTCATTTCAGCGATCGTGGCCGGCAAAAATCTCAGGAGGTAAATGATTGTACTCGTCTGAAAGGGGCATAGAAAGAGAGATGATGGGAAATGCCCAAAACATTCCACATTGGCTTAATTTTTTTCCATAAATTTCACATGAAGCTGTCAAATTGACTGACAGGACATTTTGTTGATCTTTTGATTTCTTGATAAAATGTTCTGGTTGACTTGAAGATAAGATTGAGAGGATCCTTTGAAATTAGAGCAGTGCTAATTGGTATAAAAACTTTTGGTACTATAACTCTTGTTTCTAATATTCTCGGGTAAAATATACATTAGTAAAGCAACAGTCTAACAACATGCGTATGCACTGAAATGTTAAACACAAAGTTATAAGCATGCTCTTTAATGAAACCAGGGTAAGTATTATTGTATACAGAGTTAAAACTTCCTGCATGAAGGATACCATACTTCTTCATGCATATCAATTTAACACTAATGAAAGTTAAGTAAACCATTAAGAAGAAAACTTTAATTCACAGTCAACAACAGTCAACAGAGAAGACTGAAGCCAAATATACGCTACGGTCAATGAGTCTCAAGTAATTAAGCCAACCTGTAAATTAAAAAGCTTAGATCTGGTAACAAGAATATTTTATACCAAAAAATACAGTAAGTGGAACGCACGACGAAAGAATACATAAACCGGTTAACTATCGTCCCTTTTAAAATACTACGAACTATATACTTTATTGTACTATAATTCAATGAAAGCTTGAAACCCAGTTAACATACATACAAGTTAATACTTTCCTATGAAAATAATAATAATAATAATAATAACTGCGATGTCACAACCCAGGAACACTGTTAAAACTACACTGATAATATAGTTTGAGAATAACGAAGAAACAACACAAACGGTTAGTATTTCTAACCTCAAAACAGATAAAAATGATGAAATAGTACTGAGATCTACCCAATAATAATACATTATTAATGTTTATAAACCTGTTGACATAACACACCAAACAATTGGATTCAACGTAGCGTCAGATCTGATACGGAAAATAATTTCTTAAATTTGATGCAACATAACCTTTATTACACCAAATTTATGACCATTGAATGGTCCACGATATCAGATAAGATTATCCCCCATGATAGCAGATCATATATTATGTAAAAACCTTTTAAGCATCTGAACAAATCGATAGGAACAATCAATTTTAAATCTTTCCATCATGCGCATATGAAAGTATTTAACGCAAATCACCAGTTAATATTACCCATACAGAAGATGAATATGGAAATGGACATTAACTATATATTCACCTAGACAAGAAAATTGATGTTACATATATTGACATACATTGAACTCCATACGCATAAGCCACTCTCATGGATACTTACTTGATATTATTGGATATGACTAATCGTGAGAAAAAAATTTGAGTCAAATCTTCAAAATTTCTCCTTACTTACATTAAACTGGAAAAGTTTACAATGCAATACTACAATAATCAATCTACAAGCATTACGGAATTATTCTTACGCGTTATATAACATGATTAATGATTGGAAATGGAAATTAGGCTAATATTCAATGCTAGTTCTTTTCTACATCAAAATAAGACGAATTTGTACAATTACATTACTTACGGATTGTTGCATATGCAGTACTAAAGGACTTGATTTATATGCACCATGGCATGTTATTGCATGTTTATATATGTATTCGATTATTTGCATGTCTGTTGGATATTTTTGTCCCGGTAACAATATTTGTTGACGCTAAGATATGGAATAAGATAAGGACCAGATTGTCCAAATGCCTTCACATTCCTTCCTAACTAGTAGATGCTTCTTGCTGCTACGTATGATATGACTATAAAAAAACCCATCTCTCAAGTTTTGAGCAGACACCGTAGTAAAAAAATCAAAACTGAAATGTCTACACAACTACACATGAACTGACCAGAAGTTCATAATAAATATTAATTATCAACAACCCATAACAGTGCAAAAAATAGAACATTAAATCAATTGGATAATGAATCCATGTGAAATGTGAACATGTTAAAAAAAAGGAAAAATATGTAAGGTAATAATTCCCATGACGACGAAGATTTGAGATAAAGTTCAAAAAACATAAATGAAAAAAAAAACAAATTCATAAGCTGATAGATAAACGGTATATGCAAAATCATATATAGCGCGAAAAGTAACACCATAGATAGACAAACGGCCAAGGCTAGAATTAATAAAACTAGACATAATATGGAACACAATTAAGTAGTGATGCGATATCATTAAGTCGATAGAATAATCAAATTAGCAAAGTACATGAGGCAAATATGATAGTTTAAAAAGCATATCGCCGCCAATCAAGTACTGGAAAGTAATTAGCAACACATTCAATACAAACTCACAATACATGAGACTAAGAATATAACATAGGAGCCTAACAATTTGAATTGAATAAATTGTGAGCATTACCAAGGTTTTATGATCCTTCGCCGCCATAAATTCCAGCAATGGTCTTGCAACCTTTTTATAAATTAATGTCAAGCAAGGAGAAAATTACATTGACTATATCAACGTAAGCGTTTCATATAAACAAACATCAACCCGACCCAGCCAAGCATCTCTAGATGGTTTCAATCTGCTCGCCTTTTTATTTAAAAAAATAATCATAAGAAACTAAAGTCCTAATCCCCAATAAAATTACAATCTGCTCGCCTTTTTATTTAAAAAAATAATCATAAGAAACTAAAGTCCTAATCCCCAATAAAATTACGCATTGTGAACAAAATAAAGCGAATAAAGCCTACGTTGGCTAATTATAAACGGCGACAAATACATCCTGCCATACAAAGGAGACAACCCTGATATGATAACATTGTTCAGACGATAACCAACATAAAAATAGCAGATACATTCTTAAAACAGTAAGAAACAATCTAACGCTAACATAACTAAGAACCATAATCTATTATATAAAAGTTGATAAATTAAACTAAGCGGAGGTACCTGGGGCTGCTAAGAACCATAATCTATTATATAAAAGTTGATAAATTAAACTAAGCGGAGGTACCTGGGGCTGGTCCAGTCAGCATCTTATCGACTTTCATCAGAAGTCCCTGCATCTCACCAACAAGATTGTCCCTAGTTTCTGGCTTCAGACTTTGAGAACTTCCAACAACTTTCTCAAGTGGAGATCCGCTCAGAGTTGATATCATCCTCTCCAGGCTTTTCCTAATATAAGGAAGTGGAGGCTTTGGAACTGGAATCGAAGTATGTGAGGAAGGTGAGCTTAAGTTTCCTGTAAGATAACGAAGGCGATAACTGGCAACCGGCAGGCCCAAAGCTGCAACTTTATCAGTGAATGCCTTTTCTGCATCAGAACTTTTCACAAAGGTAACTTTAGCACTGCTTGATTCTTTAACTGCTTCAGTCTCTGCTTGAATCACTGTGCCATACTTGCTAAACGCAGAAACAAGATCTTCGTTCGAAGGTAAACTGATCTCAGGAGAAAATGTCAATAACACAGCTGCTGGGTCCTCATGTCCCATTGTGTTCTTGCCCTTTTTCCTCTGCCTCGGTTTCCTCTCTCCTGACCCATTAGTAACTTTGCTTCCCAAATTGATAGGAACATCAATAATCGATCCATCTTTACCGTTAATATCCAATTCCACTGGGGCTTTTGCATTGGCTTTTTCTTCTCCCTTAGTTTCTTCCTGCCCGTTTTTTTCTAATTCCATATTAGCATTAGCCTTCTTCCTTCCTCTTTTGCGTCCTGAAGTACCGTTCTCTGGAACAGTAGCTTTCGGAGTAACTGGTGTCTCTCCATTACTCTGAAGACTTAAATCTACTGGAGTTTGTCCTTCACCATTAACTTGATCCCTCTTGATAATGAGCCAAAAAAGGCAGTAATTAGGCTCAAAAAATCTTCTGATCCTTCCGAATATGTGGGAGGGGCAAGAATAAATCAAGGACTGAACCCTCGGTCGATTTGAAGTTGTTTCGATGCTCGATCCAGCTTCAATTTGAATTCTGGTTTATCGACTTTCATCAGAAGTCCCTGCATCTCACCAACAAGATTGTCCCTAGTTTCTGGCTTCAGACTTTGAGAACTTCCAACAACTTTCTCAAGTGGAGATCCGCTCAGAGTTGATATCATCCTCTCCAGGCTTTTCCTAATATAAGGAAGTGGAGGCTTTGGAACTGGAATCGAAGTATGTGAGGAAGGTGAGCTTAAGTTTCCTGTAAGATAACGAAGGCGATAACTGGCAACCGGCAGGCCCAAAGCTGCAACTTTATCAGTGAATGCCTTTTCTGCATCAGAACTTTTCACAAAGGTAACTTTAGCACTGCTTGATTCTTTAACTGCTTCAGTCTCTGCTTGAATCACTGTGCCATACTTGCTAAACGCAGAAACAAGATCTTCGTTCGAAGGTAAACTGATCTCAGGAGAAAATGTCAATAACACAGCTGCTGGGTCCTCATGTCCCATTGTGTTCTTGCCCTTTTTCCTCTGCCTCGGTTTCCTCTCTCCTGACCCATTAGTAACTTTGCTTCCCAAATTGATAGGAACATCAATAATCGATCCATCTTTACCGTTAATATCCAATTCCACTGGGGCTTTTGCATTGGCTTTTTCTTCTCCCTTAGTTTCTTCCTGCCCGTTTTTTTCTAATTCCATATTAGCATTAGCCTTCTTCCTTCCTCTTTTGCGTCCTGAAGTACCGTTCTCTGGAACAGTAGCTTTCGGAGTAACTGGTGTCTCTCCATTACTCTGAAGACTTAAATCTACTGGAGTTTGTCCTTCACCATTAACTTGATCCCTCCTTTTTCGTCCTTTCTTTGCCTCAGATTTGTTACCTTCTTCAGACTTAAGAATTGGAGTTTCTCCTTCACCATTAACTAAATCTTTCCTCTTTCTTCCCCTTTTCCCCTCACTTTTCTTACCTTCTTCAGACTTGTCATTAACAGGAGTTTCTCCTTCACCATTAATTGCATCCTTCTTCTTTCTTCCCCTTTTCACCTCAATTTTCTTACCTTCTTCAGACTTATCACTTACCTCTATATTTATATTAATCAATTTCTTCTCTCCTTCCACAGATTCAGCAAGTTCTTTCTGATGAGCATCAGATTTCGCACTGCTCGAATACACCGACCTCCTAAACTCAGTAAAGAACCCTCTAACATTCTTAGCTGCACAATTTCCTTTCAAATGAAGGGGATTCACCGCTGTTGCAAGAAACTCAGACAACACCTCCCCAATATCAAGCCCATCAATTTGAAACGAGGTTTCAATCTTCTCCTCTTCATCTTCATTAACACTAAACTTCATCGGAGTCTTGGGCTCTGAATTCCTCGGTGATCCCAAAGTCTTGGCTAATCCTCCGCTCAAATGGGTATAAGGCGGCGATAAATACTTGCTCTTCTTCCTCTCTCTTCTGCCCGATATAGCACCATTCTCTTCCTTCTTCTTCTCTTCGTCATCATCACTCAATTCAACAGTATCCAAATCCAGTTGTGCAATGAGAGCTGCCACGCTTCTTCGTTTCCTACCTCGAGAGCTCTTCTCCGATAAAATCTCGGGCCCTTTTCCTTCAATCATCTCATTCGCAGGAACATCCAGATCAATCTTATCAACCAACTCCTCAATCTTCTTCATCTTGTGCCCTAATTTCGAACCTCTCTCAAAACCAACAACCCAACTCTTCATCTTCGCGATATCAGCCACATTAACTATATTCACATCAACAGCAACATCTCTAACCAAACCCAGAAACTCGTGAGCCTCAAAATTACTAATTTTGCCACCATTCCCCAAAATCTTTGCAAGCTCGCTCCTTTCCTTTTCAGGCAAGCAATTACAGCTAAACTGAGCTGCTAAACACTTCCCAATCTCACTCACAGCAGAGAACAATGCAGCTTTGAAGCCCTTAGAGCTGCTGGACCTCGAAATCTCATCGAAACCCTCCAAAAATCCCTTCAAATTCGAGGGATCAGTCCAAGCTAAGCTCCCGTCCCCAAAATAAGCTACAAGAACCGAGCTTGGAGCTTGATCGGAGGATTCCGGTGGGTCTCGAACTCGGCCAGGCCACCACTGATGGTTCTTGATCTTGCCCCAGACAAAATCGCCGGCGGAAAACCGAGCCCTAGCTGGCTCTGACCCTAACCCTAGCTCCTCCTGGGTTTGCGGCATTGCCAGGGTTTGGGGCCGACCGGCTAGGGTTTTGGGGGCTAGGGTTTGGGGTGTTTCTAGGGTTCCCATAGAAGGGTGAAAAGTGAAAAGGGGGAAACGTTGAGGGGGTTGGTGGAAATTTGTACCCCGTCGCCTACGCCGGCTTCCGCAGGGGTGGGAGAGTAAAGACACAGTACGAGGAGGGGGGTTATGGAAATTTTCCTCGCCGTCGTTTTAGAGAGAGAGAGAGGGCGGAGCGCAGAGTGTAGAGAGAGAGAGCGAGTGGGGGTTTGTGAGAGGAATGCTGAGTAGCCCCCACGTGGACATCGAGTTATGTGGTGGGCCCACCCGGCTGGAGTGTGTAATGGATGGGGGTTGGTGTTTGGACTAGAACAGCGGACAGCGAGAAGGGGGAAAAACGTTCGTCTACACGTGCAGAGTGTTAAGTATTCGGATTCTGCGGATCTTGCAGAACACGGAGGCCTAGATAAAATTGCTGAAAAAAAGCCACGCGCAGTTCTACTTTCCTATAAGGTTTATGCATATATACCCAACTATTCTTCCATACTTACAAATTTACTCTTCAAACTTTAGTATTTGCAAAATTACCATCCGATTCTTTCATAACAGGGTTTTCTCTACCCTCCCATGTAACAATGTTAATTTTTAAACAAAAACTTTCCAATAAATTGCAATAAACCTATAATATTTCCTAATTTGAAAACTATAATTCTTAAATAGGAGGTGTAAAAAACGCTCATAGTGAGTGAATTGGAGGAATTTTTTGCAAGTACTAGCACTTGGAGGGTAAATATGCAAACAAGAAAGATTTAAGGATATGCATGCGAACACCTCTTGTTATTAATGCTGCTAGATCAGAGACACTATATTATGCAAGTGCAAAAAAAGAAAAAGAAAAAGAAAAAGAAAAAAAACTAATTTTAATTCAATATTGATAATGACATTTTTTTGTGTGTAGCTCAACCGGAAATTATTGCTTAAAATTTTATATGTTTGTTCGTGAAAGTTAATTCAATGAAAGAGTAAAGTTTTATTTAACAAATTCGATTGAAATATATTTTTAATTTTTAAGATGAGATGAATAGTGTAGAGATCTAAAATTTTGACTATCTACAATCCATCTCAAATTATTTACTATTTGAGTCATATATTATGGCCACAATCATTTTTTAAATTTTGTTCCGGTTTCTTAATGTTTTATTTATCCCTTGATTTAATTAAATAAACTTTATATAATTATATAGGCTTTTGTTTATAATAAAAAAGTTGTATAGCTTTTATCTATGCTTATGAAAAGATATTAATTAAAATGTTCTAGAAACAACAAAGAGAAAAAAGAAATATTCAATTGTATAGATTGGGTATATACACATAGGATTAATTAAGCTAGCTATACGCACTTATAAAATTACATATTTGCCCATCTATTTTGTAAGTACAAATGGGTCATTGTAATCCACGTGTCATCAAATATATGTGGATTAAAACTCATGTAGTTTGTAATTTTCTATCCTACAAATCATGCTACTCGAAATAGATGACATTATGGACCATTACAGGCCATTTATTTCTAGGTCATTAGATGTATAAATTTGAAAGATCTAATTCACATGATTTTTTTTATCTCTATGAAGTTTTGAATGCATAGATCATAATGAACAGTGTGTATCGTTAATATTCATCATCAAAAATATATTTTCACAAGTTGTGTATAACTAACCTAGTTACACCCCAGGTGTATTGTAGCCGCACCCGTATAGACTTTATATATGTTTATGATAAAATATGTATAGAATGTTCTAGAAACAATAAAGATACAAATTTTTTCTTGTTAAATTTCCTTTTAACCCTTTCAACCATCCTAGAAAAGAGGGCATGTCCATCCATTTTTTTGGAAAAGAGGATCATTATATAGTGTATAGATTCCATTGACTCGACCCATGTCCACCACTTACTTTATTTAACTACTAAGATTTTTCTATATCTCTTATAGTTTTTTAGGTATCTGTAATGTTTCTAATACTGCTGTTATAGCCATTTTAGTGATAAAAATAATATTCAATCAATGGCGGCTCTACATTATGCGTAATCGAGTCAGCACTCGATATGCCGACATCTTGCGAGGACAACTCGAAAGGCGTTACATTCGGCTCGTAGTTGGGTCGACTGCTTAATCACTCCACTTGACCGACGAATTGGCTAACATCTTATGAATGCGACTCAAAAGATGGTACTTCTCGACCGCCTTTCTTGTGAAGGAGACTCAAAAGGCGGGACTTATCGATCACCGGACGAGTATAAAGGCAACGAAATGCCTCGAGCCTTGAGCCTCCTTCTACACGCTGGCGACCAATCACCTCAAAATAAATGCTATTAGATGCATTATGGTGTCATCATTTCTCTACCCCCAATAGTCTTTATGACACATCGGACCACGTCAGCACCGCACCCCCCCAATAAATGATATTAAATACATTATGGTGTTATCATTTCTCTGCCTCCAATAGTATTTATGACACATCAAACCACGTCGGCACGACACACCCCCAGTCACTTCGCAATAAATACCGAAGTGACATCTCCTCCACTCGTCGACCGACACCTATAAAGCAAAGTCTGACGTGGCCGCCATCCCATACTCAGCCGAAGTTATCATTCCACCCTTCTACCACCACTATAAATATGGATGCTATTTTCAGTAATAAGGTAAGATCTTTACCACTATTCACTATGCTTAAGAACTACTGCAGTTCATTTTACTTCTTCACTCAAGCAAATCACTGACTTGATCATCAGAGAAATAATTGGGGAACACAACCCCACCCTCTTACAATTTATTATTATTGGCCTTCTTGTTTTGATGATGATTTACAAACAATTTACATCTAATATTGTTTGTCTAATGTTTGTGTTTTATATTTATTCTAGGCAAACAATATGTTGGAGGATGGATGGAATAGCGTTTTAACGAAGATATCAAATGGAGGTTGGTGGATATAGTGGTTGAAGCCTTGCTATTCAAAGTTAAAGATCAAGTTCAAGCTTCATCCGCGAGATTACCAAGTCAAGCTTATTGAAGACCAATCAAGCTTGGGTAAATTAGTTTTAGGAATTTATATTATGTGTGTTAGTACTTTAAGCTCAATCATATACACACATACACATTTTGGTTTTTGTATATATATAGTTATATATATACATATATGTTTTGGTTTGATAGTTTTCAAGTTTTATTATGAAACAATTGAATATAATTAGAAAACATATTTTTGTTTCATACTCATATGCATATATATGATTTCATCAATATCAATTTTAGTTAGTTAAATAAAATCATGTTTTAGTGTATTATATGTGTATTTTGATAAAATACTACATTCATTGTTTATAGACTTCATAACAATAGTTTACATCTTTCTTCAAGTCTATAAAATCATTTTGTAAAGTTTCAAAAGTTGGTTTAGTCAAAATATCTAATTTCACATGTTTACATTTTCGTGTTTTGGACTATTTTGCAAAATGATGATATTTTTCATTTGGGAAGTCTTTTTTTCGAAACCAGTCATTGTAGCATGTTTATTATCATGTCTACAATCATTCCCCAAAGTTTTACATTTTTTGGAATTTATTTGATATTTTTAAATAGTGTTTTAAAATCAGATAAACAATTTTTCAAAACCTGTCATATTTGTTTTCGGTCGACCGCACCGGTCGACCGAACCTGAGGTCAAAAGTTCACTGGGCGACAGAAAGCCTGTCGGTCGACCGGTCCGGTCGACCGATGAAAATTTTCGGTCGACCGACGAATTTTCCGGTCGACCGACGAGCGTTCCTTCAGCTTCCAACAGCTAGTTTTTTGATCGTTGCCTTGGGGCTGTTTTATCTTTTGCTCTGGTTTTTTGGCTGAGTTGTGAGAGGGTATAAATACCCTATTGCCTTCAACTCTCAAACCAACTAAGAGAGTTTTAAAACAAGTTTAAGAAAGTTTTAATCAAGGGTTTAAGTTTGTTTTTAGTGTTTGTTTAAAAAGCTTTTAAGCATTTACAAGAGTTTGGTTTGTGGAGCAAATTTCACAAGAGCAAGTGGAGATCATCCTTGGTGTTTGAGCATTCATTCTTCTCCCTCTCTCTTGTCATCTATAGAGAAGTTTCCTTAAACTCAATTCTAGCATTTTATAAGTTTGTTCTTAATTTCATAAGCTAGATTTCATATTGAGTTTATATTGTTTTATCTCTTTGTTCACACACAACCTATTGAGCTTATTGTATTTACATTCATAGTATAATTTAGGGTTGTGGGTTTGTGACATTGAGAGTAGTTTTCGGTTAGCTAGAAAACCGAGTGTGTAGAAGAAGTTCCGGCTTCCAAACCGGATTGTGATAATGGAGATCTCCTCGAGGTGAGGAGCGGGGACGTAGGTCGTGGGGACCGAACCTCGTAAACATATCATTTGTTTGTGATTGCATTGACGCACTTGTTTTCATATTCATATCTTACATCGCCATTGTGTATTGCTTGTTGATCATTTTGCCCTATCACATTTGTAGTTAATTTGTTTACCCCTCTTGTTAGTTTTATATCCTTGCATATACATTATCTATATCTCTTTGTTAGGATATATCTTATTGTTTATATATCCTTGCATATATTTCTATCATATAGGATATATCACCTTGTGTATATTGCATATTCTTGCACATAACTCTTTGTATATCTATATTGTAAGAATATATTTGATAATTAGTTTTAATTGGTATTTAATCGGATTAGATTAGCATAAGACCCTAATCACCCCCCCTCTAGGGTCTAACATAGAGGACCTCCGTCAACTTAATCACTTCTTTCATTTGACTGTTTGATATCAGACATCAATAACTACAAATTTGTAAGAAATCTATGAGAAATGAATATCATTATCATGTGACTGAATTTCCTCGTATAATATAAATGTGATGTAATCTCAATCAAGTAATAAGGTAGGATAGAAGCCCTTTATAGCACACTTGGTTAAAATTAAGTCATATTGATTATTGTGTATAAGATAATTTCTTCATATAATATATGGAGTCCTGCTATAGAGACCGCAAATAGGGGACCCTAGGGTGGGACATGTGAGGTGTCAGCTTGGGAGGGGTGTGATACGCTGTTCATGAGATTTAGCCATTTTTATGTGATTCAGCTCTTTAATCTATGCTAAATAAGCACAAAAAGAGAAAACAAACATAAAAGTCAAAAATACCCTCATTTCCTCCTCTCTCTCTTCCTTCTCTC